ACAAGCCTTTATATATATATATATTAATGATAATAATCTAATTAAATCAATGAAATACCACTAGGAGTAAAAATAGAATTTTGATAAAAATTTGACAAAATTTTAGGAGCTTAACATTTTAGTGAATATTTAAAGAGTTATTATGCGTGGGAAAATTCGGCAATAGGGTAACATCTTAACTTTTTATACCATTGTGTTTTGGCTACAACAGTGGTAAGCATTGGTTGTTGTTGATCAGAGGCGACAATGATGATGGTTAGCGATAGTTAGTGGTAGCTAATTGACAGTAGTTTATAGTGGTGAGAACCTATGAAGGCCAAAAGTTATCACTGGATGTTCATAATTGGTCACGGTGGTCGTAGTTGGAAGATGTAACAGTAACAGCTAGTCGCATAGGTCATAGTTGAAAGTTGTAATATAAGTAGTTGATCACAAATATTGTAGTTGGTGTCTGGACCCATTCTCTCAAGAAGAGCGGAGCTACCATTTTACACTGAACACTACATTTATCTTTATACAATGTAAAAAAATATATAGATGTTAGAAACCAAAATCGTTACAATATTCATAAGCAGTGGTTGTCGGTGGTCAGCGACTGCAGAGACCTAAAGTTATATTTGTGTATTCAATAAAACTTTTATTTTATCTATGACCGTGTTTAGGATAAAATATTTGCCGAAACTTGTTATCGACGACCGGAGGTCAGCGACAGTAGGCAATGATGGCTAGCAATGGTCAAAGGAGTTCAACGGGTACGAAGATTGCAGTTATATTCAGGTATTCAGTTTAGAATGGGCTCCGAGATTTTTGATCTTCTTCTCACCTCTCAAGTAAATAGGGGGTTTATTCGAAACTTGTTAACGACGACCGGAGGTCAGCGACAAGGCAATGATGGCCAGTAATGGTCAAAGGAGTTCAACGGCTACGAAGATTGTAGTTATATTCAGGTATTCAGTTTAGAATGGGCTCTAAGATTTTTGACCTTCTTCTCACCTCTCAAGTAAATAGGGGGTTTATTTATAGCCTCTGGGGTGAAGATATTTTAGTCACTTTTGAGAATAACTTTCCTAACCACCCAATCAGATGACACATATTGATCTTCCTTAAACATTATTTTATTTTATTTTTATGATTAGAATGTCTTAATAACCTAATAATTTAACAATCTTAGGTTTGTTGGATTCCTCTCGTCGATACGCTCGATATCACTATAAATACATCAAATTTAGAGTTCATATGACTATTCAATTGACATTCCAAAGCTCCAAATACGCTTCAACGGTTTGATCCAAGCTTGATTGGACATGGATTGACCCAACTTTGATACCGTTGGGTTCATCTCGTCTGGACGGTCAGTTTTACCATAAATTTTGTTGAAATTGAGCTCTAATGATCTTAGATTGAATCTTGAAAGTATTTATCTAAGCTTCGTGCTTGCACAAATTTGTGGACGGCTTATCAATAATTTTAGGCTAAATTTATAAATTTTACTTGATTTTCTTAAAATTAAGTGGTACTCTCGAATATATAAAAAAATTAATAATTTTAGATTTCCTAAAATCGTTTCGATATTGTTGAAATTAAATCAAAATGTCTGAAAATAAAAAAATTATGTCTGAAATTCGATGATTTGCGGACGGCCGATTAATTCAGCGACTACCAAAATTTTGAAAGTTATTTCACAGATTTTAAAATTCTATTATGATAAATTTGTATTTAGAAAATATTATTAAAATGAAAGATTTTCAATTTTACCTCCACATCACATGATTCTCATATGTTTATATATTTAATATTTAAAGTATATATTTACAGATATAATAATTTAGCATTGTAAATTTATATATGAAAAAATGATTTATTTTTAATAATTAATAATAATAATAATATTTCTTGTTGTGTGACGTAAGATTTATGACGGTAGAATAATAATTTAACGTTTTAGTTTTGCCCGAAGATTTAACATAGACAAATATATGACCCCATGATTTTTTATCTGGAAAAACCCGAAAGAGTAAAAAAAAACATGGGGCTTATGTGATTTTAGATGCGTAGTTATACTCTTCTCCTGAATTAAAAAAGAAGAAACTACAAATTTATCGTACAACAGTATTTCAACGATGATAGTCATAATCAAGTTGTAAATGTCGTAGTTGATTGCTACGAAAACACGAGTCCGTCATAAATATTGTAGACGGTGATTGTAATAGCAACGGTTGGTCACAGAGACCGTAGTTGAAAGTTGTGGTAATATTAGTCGACCATAGTTGTCGTAGTTGAAAGTTGCATGAGTGGTGAGCTACATAGATCATAGTAGGTCATGTTGGCCATGATGGGGAGCTATAATAGCATCAGTTGGTTATTAAGGTTGTATTTGAAAGTTATATGAGCAGTGAGCCACATAGGCAGTAGTTTAATGTAGGCCTTGGTGGGGAGCTGCAATAGCATCAGCTGGCCACTAAGGTCATAGTTGGAAGTTGCATGAGCATTGATCCATATAAGATGTAATTGATGTTATATTGGTAGGTGATTGCAACAAAGACATCACTTGTCAGTATACGATGTAAGAAAGAAACTTTGGGAGTTTGGAGAAAATCGTCATGTTCTAAATACAATGGCCGTGCGAGGTTATTGCAGTGAGTTACTATCGGATATTTGATATGACGTCATTTGTTATCCCATATTTGGGATATTTGGTTTCACTGTATCCATAGTGCATTGTTATATTATATTTAAGGTGCCTTGTTATAATATATTTTGGGCATATCGTTACACATCATTCGGGAGTTTGTCGTAACACCGTATTTAGGGTGCATCGTCACACAGTATCTGGAGCACGTCATTACACTGTATTCAAGGTGTGTCATTAAGTCATATTCGAAGTGCATTATTACACACCGGGGGCGCCCGTCAGCAATCAACAGTGGTTGGTGGCTATGAAGAGTGAAAGTTATCACAAGGTCTTCAAATCTATAACGGCTCTCGGATTCCACTCCTCCTTCATTAAGGTTTAGGTCATGTCCCGAGTTTTGGCCCCCTTTCATGAAGAGTGGGCTCTATTTATAGATCATGGGAGTAACATCCCCACTAAATAAGGTAGGGAATGTGGATTATTCCATTGGACGGCCTAGAATAATTCTATTGATCAAATAAAATTTTTAAGGATATCTAAGTTTATTAATGATGTCAGAATTAAGAAACATTAGACTCGTTGGATCTCATTGAGACACTCGATTTGACTGTAAGTTTATTAATTTTGGAATGCATTTGATCCTCAAATTGACCACCCAATGCTTTCAAAAAATGGTTTAATAGGGATTTGATCAATTTTGATATCATTTTGCCTATAATTTGCTGAAATTTTGTATGATTTATAGATCATTTCTCAATATGACATTACAAATTCTTATATGAAATTTTGTATGATTTATAGATTATTATAGTAAATGCCTCAAGAAGATTTGCATACATGATATTCAATTCTTATTTAAAAAAAAATAAAATAAGAATATTTTTGGTGTATTATATAGATATTCAAGTAATATTCATACAAAATATAAACTTTAAATGTTAAATATAAAAATAAAGAAATATGGATTAAAAAAAGGAAAATGTTCTGCTTGCCATTAATGCAGCACATAGAGGTGGCAGCCTCCCTATTTTTTCCTTCATGTCTCTTCGATCAATGACTCAATAACCGAGAAAATTTAATAAAAACAAGATGACATATAAATCTTTGTGCAAGGGCGAAATTCGATTGTCTGTAGATTATCTAATCAATCAATCTTTTAACCTTTGGATCAACTTTAGGAATCGTGCAGATACGACGCAATTCAACTCTTAATTGATGTGCACGAATCATGAAGCATTTTAAAGGTCAGCCATGATGCTCTTTCTATTTGTGTTTAGTGCTCAGTAGAACATTTCCGTACGTCAATTCATCGCCTGCTCTGCTGCTTTCATGTTGGAGGAGAGCATGCGAAACGTAGGATTTTGTCGCAATTTTGGACCAAAAGTACCATTATTATTAAATACACTATTTATATTTTATTTTTTAATAGCAAAAAATAAAAATAAAAAAACAATAAAAAAAGAACAAAAGATTTTCATTACAGCCGATGTATTTATAAATATACTATTTATATTTTATTTTTTAATAGCAAAAAAATAAAATAAAAAAAAAATAAAAAAAGAACAAAAGATTTTCATTACAGCCGAAAATTGGACGCATATACCATAAATTGTGAGACAATTAGTAAGAGCTTAATCACTAATACATCACATATATGCTCTAACAAAATACATTAATTACCGTTTGAAATCTTCTGCTCGTCGGAGGGAAATCCAAACTCGTAACAGCAGAAATGTACAGCTGAAAGGCGTGGAGAAAGAAAATTTAATCCAGATTGCAGCTTCACCGTATATGTTTCCAGTCACAGTTCTTGCTGCCAAATCATTTACAGTTTGTGGCCATTTAAGCACACATAGTAGACAATTCTTAATGTATTACATATCTCACGCCTAAACTTACAAATCTGTAATATCATATAAAAAAATAGCACCATTATCACCAAAGTGTTATGTATGTAAATATGAAAGTTTAAGTGTGAGATATGTAAATACATAAGAATTGTGTCCTATGTGTGTAAATTTCGCTTACACTCTTAATTGGGGGAGGGGAGAAATATGACTTGGGATATGCTCATAGCAGCCATATGCGATTCGTTCGTCGAGAATTCGCTCGAGCCACCAAGCTATGGAAGATGAGCTTCAGAATCAGGGCATTAGCCTCCTGTTTTGAATTGCGTTCTTAAGATCTTTTGCTCACGAATTGACCTTTTACTCGCGGACGTTGCTCGGCAAGCTTTTGCCTGCTATGGTATCTGACCTGTTGAGATTAAAGAAATGGAGGGATGAAAATTGAAGGATAGATTCATTTAAGAAAGAATATAATTAGGTAAAAACAATCATAAGGTTAATATCAAAGCGAAAAGCATAAGAAATAGATAATTTTGAAGGAGTGAAGTGTCAAAATAGTCTGCTGACTATTTACATAGGATGAAAATTGTGGTTTTTAATGGTGATATTATGCTCTTTATCTCTTTTATTGTTCATCACATTGCTTTCATTACAAAGATTTAAAAGTTGACAAAAAAAATGAGATGCTAAAACACATATCGACATGCTTTATTCCATGTAAATAAGATCCAGTACCATAGAAGAGGTTTAATATGTAAATAATTATAAATACTGTGTTAGTTCAGAAAAAGGAAAAAAATGAATTCATAAGGTAAATTTTTAAATATGTAACTAAGCTATTACAGAACAACAGAGCAATCAAATCAAGGAATAAGTAAACATTAACATGAGATCTGGCTAATAGCAGACATTAATAGCATCCAAGATAAAATAAAAGAAAATGATTTAGCAAAGAATAAGTAAACATTAACTGGATTGCCATTCAAGAAAAAGAGATAAATTGCATCCAAGATAAAATAAAAGAAAATGATTTAGCAACTAAACTAATTTAAGCTCTTATTCTTATCAATATAAAAATTAAAAAAAGAGCATTCACTAGACCAATCTGGATAATAAGATGCAAACAAGCCTTTATATATATTTAGGGTTAGTTTAGAATCACTTTTATTTTTATTTGTTATTTTTTTTTATTTTTTTGCTTTTATTTTAAAAAACATATTTTTTCAGGAACATTTTTATTTTTATTTTTTGCTTTTATTTTAAAAAACATATTTTTTCAGTGCATTTTTGACATGTTTTTATTTTCTGTTTAAAAAAATAAAATTAGGTTATTTAAAAAAAAAAGCTCAACATCTAAAAGTTGTATTGAGTATTTAAACATGTTCTAACACACCACATATGTTTTATTTCAAGAAAAACATAAGCAAATAAATAAGCTCAACATCTAAAAGTTGTATGGAGTATTTAAACATGTTCTAACACACCACGTGTTTTATTTCAAGAAAAACATAAGCAAATAAATAAAAATAAAAATAAAAAAAGCAAAAATTAAAACTTGGCAAAAATAAGATGCAAACTTATGCATTACCTTTTTCGCAAAGCATCTATCCTTCCTTTTCAACCGGAATTTAATTATCGCAGCCTCTCGATGAGAGAGATCAGAACTCAATCCGTTCTTAACAAAGTTTTGAAAGCCATTTTCGTTCCCGCTTTCCCGACCAGCCCCCATTGCTGCAGCGGCATCTCCCATTGTGTCATCACTATCATTGCTCCCAGAACATTTTAGAACATCTCTGCTACTGCTGCCATTTTTATAGACCTCTTCAGTAGGACTAGAAGACAAACCTAGCTCTTCTCCAGCTTCGGTATCATCCACTTGTCCCCTACATGGGAGAGGATGATTTAAATCGTGGCAACGAAATTCGATAGATCCCGAATGACTATCAGAATATGTTCTACACTGCCCATTTCCTGCAGCAGAGAAACTCTGCACTATTAAGGGGTTATCCTGATGTATTATCGGTTCACCATATCCCATACAGAAGCTTGGGTAAGAGACTGCTCCAACCGGAATAGGCATTGGCGTGAAACCTAGTTGAGAATGGCCAGCAGTATCTTCCTCCATGTTTCTGTCCGAATATATCTGAAATTTTTCGACAACTTCAACTCTAGAGGCGGAAGGTTCCACATTATCGGTGCCACGACAGCTTACATGGGTTGTTTGATCAATATATTCTTTGTTTTTTATGCATATGGATGATGAATTTGGCTTGCATGCACCACTAGTGGAAGTACCACCATATCTGAGAAAAAATATAAATAATTGCAAAGTTAGTATAAAAGATTATTACGGGTAAAATCAATTCTTCTGTGAAGAAAATGAAGGGGTCATTTTAGTCCCAGAGTATATAGAAGCGTCAATTTAATCTCCATATTCTTTTAATGGGAACTATTTTAAACCATATTAAATGAATCTAGGGACTAATTTGACAATTTTATAAAAACTAGTGCCACTATGTAAATCGTCATGGTAGTATTTTGGCACTTAGTCTTATAAAAATAATAGCTCATGCAAGCAACATTCTAGAAGTTGTAGAATAATGGTCTTTTTTACATTCCTAAGATGAACTTATTCAATCAAATGATGAGACTTTCAGCTAAGCACAGCATTCAGCATTTTAGTGGGACTAAGCTACAAGAGAATTAGTGCATTTGATTAACAATTAAATACTCATTTATATGACTCGTTTAAACTCATTTATTTTTAAATGCTCAATATATCAATAAACAAGCTTAAACATGGGACTTGCCCGTCCATCAACATTCGTGAATATGCTTGATTGTTATTTTAACAACTAGCTAGCTAAGAAATCGAAAAAATGCACATATATGATGATTTTTTTTTTTATTCAACAATTTTCTTAATATTTTATACAACTTAAATTATTTATATTACAAAGGCATACGTATATTATGAAAATATAAGACAAAATAGCTAGATGGATAGATTAAAAGCATTTTCCTAATTATCATTTGATAATAAAAACTTAAAAGAATACTAGATGGATAGACTAAAGATATAAATTTAGTTTTCATTAAGATTTAATAATGAAAATATTGAATAAATAACTAGTTGGACAGATTAAACTGGGACAATCCAAGGTCCTATATGAAATTAGAATACTCTTCCTTTGAGCCTTGAATAATAGAATCGCAGGGACAACTACTATGTGAGGATAAAAAAGCGATCGAACTGTCTCTCGGTTTGATTACTGCCTTAATTCAAATTGATTTGTTCTCCAATCACTGAAACAAATCAAAGAATCTTCTGATGGAATCATATCAATAAAAATATCTTCCCAATTCTGTTAGTTATTCAATCGTGTTACTTAGGTTTTGCACTTCGATAGAAATAAGAAACTGGGTACTATCGTTTGTAGGGTAAGTTTCCTTAAAATTTATGTTATCTAATGATAAAAGAAAGACCAGGTAATAGAAATATGAAGATCAGATACTTGTTTAACTCGAAGTGATCAATTAGTCTAGCACCCAAATAAAGCAGAAAACTTTCTGATCGAATCATAGATGTTAGCCAATCAGCCAAAATGTTAAATATGCTCATTCCATGGAATTAAGATAGCAATAAAATAAAGGGCAATCATTTGCTTAGTTCCCTGTAGGGATTTGGAAAAACGTAGAAATCCAAAACCCTAAAGAGGCAAGCTTCTTAATGTTTATGTTTTAAACAGATAAGAAAATACTTTTCTTCTGCCAAGTAAACAGGTTCTTCACTAGAAAAAATAAAACTTGTTTACTTGGCATAAGAAAAGCTTGTTTACTTGGCTTTCAACCATTTATAGAAGAGATTCCACCTTCATGAAAAAAAATAGAGGACTTGCTGATGTATGCTGATTTGGAAGACCAAAACAAAAACAAAATAAGAAAAAAGAAATAGCCTGAAAATGTTTCCATTACATGGATTTATATCCGTTAAAATTGGTTCAATGAGTGCTTAAAGTCAGGTGAGAATCAACAGCAAGGCATAAGTTGATTTTTCAAAGTACTAAAGAAGCTCTATTCCAATGTATGTACATATCTAACACCAAAACTTCAATTTTTACATATATACCACCTTTCCTATGCATGATAATGTGAATTTCACAGTTTAGAAGTAGAAAATATGATATTTTTTAAAAGATATGAATGATTTGGGCGGTAGAAATGTAAAAAGTAAAGTGCAGTTGTTAAATATGTAAATGCATAAGAATTGTGTGGTATGTATGTAAGTGCCCCCAGAAATAAAAATGACCCAATAAACACATAATGTCTGAACCTAGTGGATAGGAAAGGAATCACAATCTACCATCAACATTCTAAACTACATACATCTCAATGAAACAAAAGTAATAGAGTATTTCAATCCAGAATTTGCCGTAAAAAAAGCAACAAAGATATATGTTTATTGGAATCTTAACCATTATGGTACATAGCCAGCGGAACAAGTTTTAAAGGCATTATTTTATCCAATGAAGCAACTAAAGAATATTATACAAAAAAATTGTCAAAAGCTATAATTTTTATATGTAATTATAACATAGTTCGTAATGTAGAAAAATCTAAATGCCTTAAATTTGATTAAGTTTGAACTGCAGTGTTTATGTACCTCTTTTTAGATTAATTTCATATACTTAAATGAATTTTATACAAGTTGCTTATTCTTGAGAATTGGATAACATAGGCTTGAGCTAGATTATGCTGATAGTCATTATAAACAATTATTTCACAGTATTCAAGCAAATCTAGAGAATTAATTCAAGTAATTACCTTGAAAAAGCAGACACATTTGAATGTTTTAAAATGGTGTTCTGCTTAGCATGATTTTGTACGCATCCATTTAATTTTGTCATTAAAGAAAGCTCCCATAAAGGAAGGGAGCTAGAATTGACTCCATGCTTTATCTGAGATCTATCAGCACCAGTCGATAAACCTTCATCCATAACAGCAGTTTTCAGGATAGGATGAGAGCATTGTCCATTTGCCAAAGACTTCGCAAGTCCATCTGAACTTCGTGCAAACTCCTCAGAATGTATTTGATGATTTAAGTTAGGCTTCTCATTGCCAGCTTTCGCATCTTCGTGAGAAATATGTCCACTGTTTTCTACTAAAAGAGCCATTTGAATTGGTTGAGCTGCAACATCCTCAATTACCAAGGTTTTATCTGCAAAAAAAAAATCATTGCATCTTTTTATACGAGGACAGGAAACATAAAGTACAGATAACGATATGAAGTTAGAGATATAAAAAAACACCTCGCAACGCCGCATTATCATCCATAACAAGCGAAAGGGCTATCGTATTTGTGTTGTTTTGAGGCTGCTCAAGATGTGCTTCAGTTTCCCTATGGAACTGGCCATCTTTAGATAGAACAGGTTCAGCCTGCTTCCGAGAAATGTCAACTTTCTTATCCAGTTTGCCACCCAAAGTCTGATCAAGCACCTATCAGAAAAAACGTTAACATCCAAAAGAAAAGTTTAATAAACAAAAAAAGTGTCACATAAAACACAAATTAAAACTCTTTCTCCTATCTAAAACTAAATAGTAGGTTTGTCCTGTCTTAAAAAAACTTTCTTATTTTAATTGGCATGACAATAAATGCAAGAATTTTCACATCCGGCTTACCTCCCAAACTCTGGCTAAACATCTATCAGAAAATCATTACAAAGCAAAGCGGAACAGCCAAATTTTAATGAACTTATAAAATGTCATGTGAAAAAAACAAATGACAAGAAAATAGCCAAAGAGTGGATTAAAGTGAACCATCCTCTATTATTCATTAAAACATCTGCAGAGCAGTTACGAAAAAATGAGCTAACATTTCTTAACAGGGAAAGAAAAAAAACAACACCATTTTGTTTAATGAGCATGGTAGGATAGAAAATAGGTAAGTCAAAAAAATGAAATATAAGCAGAGATGAAATAGAAAGATGATCAGTAGAATAACACAAAAAACCTTTAGCAGCAACAAAACCATTTTTTGCATGCCAGAATAACCAAGAAGAATACATAAATCTTTTAATATCTATCTTCTATCCAATAATTTTTAAAATTTACACTTCTCTTCAAATCATGCTGAAGTTAAAATCAGTAAAGTTCAACAAATTTAATTACCTCATCAGAATCACTTCCTTTGTCACTGGTATCACCAGTATGGGACCAGTCACCAACATTTGAACTAATCTGATTACTGGCAGCATTATTTTCTGAAGTACAAGCATAAGTATTTGACTGCACCATCATTACAATTATCAAAGTTAATTATTTTAAATAGAACCAAACATGGTGAGTGACAACTGAAAAGAGAAACAAACAGAAAACATACACAGTGCCTCCTCCAAACATGCTGCCACAAATTCCTTAACTCATTTTTCCTCAATGGTTTTACGAGAAAATCTACAGCACCCTTCAGCATGCATTTATGTACTATTCCAACCGAGTCTTGAGAAGACATCACTGTGTGACAGAGAACAAACAGCATTGGATGGAGAATAACTAAGAGAAATTGCTCCAACATAGAATAACTCGTTCAAATCTCATTAAAAAATGAATTTGATTCGTGCTTCAAATTACACGAATGTTTAAACTTTGAAAGCATGGCGGAATGAGTAAAACTAGAAAAGTAAAACATGTCAAAATATGAATTCAATGAACTAGGGCAATAATCCATCCAAACAGCAAAAACTGCACCACAAATATACGGAAATCAAGGATCTATAGATTTGAACCCTAAATCCTTTCACCGTAAGATTTGCTAAATGTCTACAAAATAAAAGGGAGAGAATTAGAGGAAGTTGGGTGCCCTAATAATTGAGATAAGTCTAGTGAAGTTGAAGATGAAGAAGGGTTATAGCTTCTAAAATGAATTAGTCAAGTTATAAGACCTAATCAATTAAATCCAATCAAGCAGTTGATTATCAGCAGTCAAAGTAAAAAATTTGAAAACTAATGATTGTAATTAGAAGTAGCCACATCTAAACTAGTGAATCTGGGAACTAATTTCTAAATAGTTAACTAGTTAATCAGAAATTATATTAATATTTTTTAAAAAAATATTCCTTAGAAAATTTCCCTGTCTAAACAGTTACTTCTTTATTAGGTTACACATGATCAATCTTTAGCAGTAATTACATAAAAAAAAAAAAAAACAGTTTATTGTTTACAAAATTGCACATTTAAGTGAACTCATTAATTTTATGTCGTTTAAATAACTGTTTACAAAATTCCTTAGAATAGCTAATGAATCAATTAGGTGATAAACAGTTAATTAACAATTTGATAAACTGATTAGTTAATCACGCAACAAAAAACAATCATTTATCCCACTAAGAGAGGTCGAATGATTAGTTAATCATAATTATTAAAATTCGACTAACACTTTATTTAACTCAAGTTTGATTTTGAAAATTACCCAATGAGTGGCAGAATTATCATGCAATAGCTCAATGACAAAATATTAATCCAAATAACATTAATCAAATTATAATATGTTCATCAAGACTTTAATACTCCATTCAATTATCTTTACCAATAATAATAAAAAAAACATTCAAATTTACACATAATTATTAATTGATTACAATTAATTATGAAATAGAGCCCAATTTCATACTAATGAGATTATAATATCTTGTAATTCCTAATCCCTGATCCTTCAGCTGGACGCTGAACAGTTTTGAGAGATTAAACTAAGTTCACGTATCAAAAACAGCATAGTTTTAGGCACTTAAATCATGGATTTTTACAGATTAGAGGATTAGGTACACCTATATTCAGATTTATCCACTCATTCTCGAAAATAAATCAAAAGAAAGGAAAAAACAAATACATGTAGAAAAAGAGTAAAGTAAAACAATCTTCTGAAACGTAATGATTCGAGTACATACTTATCACAGGAATGTTCTTACAATCCTCTGTTCCCACAATCTTGCCAAGAAGACCGATCCCAGAAAGCGAGGGCACCTCAAACTCCGTCAGCACAAGATCAAAACTATAACTCTTCCCCTTCATCACTTCCCACGCCTTCAGCCCATCAGCCACCGCCGCAACTACAAAAACCCAAACCCAAAAACCTTAAAGCCCCCCATGCTCATAAAAATCCACGATCAAAACAAGGAGCGGAGTATAGTTACCGTGATAACTGCATTTCCTGAGAAGTGCTGCAACGATGTGCCGCGTTGAGTCGTCGTTCTCCACTAGCAGCACTCGGAGAGATCTCGTCGGTAGAAACCGATCCCATTGTATCCTCCTCAGCTGCTCCCCACCGCCTCCACCGCCGACCTCCCGTCTGCATGGAGTTCTTCCGAAGGCCCTCGATCCGCGTCGCGGCGAGGCGTTCTCCTCTTCCCACACCACATCCTCCATCATCGACATCGGGAATGAGAAAGAAGAAGATGAGGAGAAGAGAAGAGTCAAGAGAAAGGCAGCAAGAATAAGAAGAAGAAGAAGGGGGTTATACGTTGCCACGACCACTCGAGAGAGAAATATCTTCTTAGACTGCCACGTAGGCGCGAGTTTGCAGAGTGGGGGAGAGTCATGGTGGAAATAATTAAAACGTGGTGGCCCACTTGGGTTCATCGCGAGCCACTAGCTGGCGTCAGTAGCGGGGTGAAGAGAGCCAGATATTTTAAAATCTTGATATTTTAATAATTAAATTTTTTTATTAATAAAATAAATATTCAAACTAAATAAAAACTCATTCAGAACTCTGTTTTCAACATACTTATACTCAAACTGACTGGTTCGATAAGAAGAAGTCAATTTTATCAAATTAGTCAAATTCAAATCAAGTCATCAAACTATTCTTGAAAATTTTTTCGATATATTTTGAAGGTTAAAAGAATCTCAAATCTAGAAAGCTTATAATCGAATCGAGCGTCTCAACAGAATGAATCCAACGAGCTTTAAGTTGCTCAATTCCGACATTTTTCAAGCACTCAAAGCTCTATCAAACGACATTTGATCGAATAAATCGCTCCGGACGACCGTCCGATCAAAGTGGTTCATATTCATGCCTTCATTGCACCCATGAGACTATAAATAGAGCCACACTCTCTCATGAGGGGGAAATTGAGGCTTGAGAAAGAACTTTGAGCATTGAGAATGAACTAAAGTCCGACACCACTCTTGTCACTGACGATCACCGTCGATGGTCATTGACCACTGTTGATCACCGTCGATTACTGTCAGCCGCCATCGACCCCCGTCGGCTCTTGTTTATCATCACCAACAGTCGTTGATCACCATTGACCACTGCTAGCCACCATCAATCACCGCTGACTGTCATCGACCACCACATTACCGACCTCCACCGATCGCCCGTCAACCACCCTCCGACCACCACCGACTGGAAGCTGTCAGTTGACATTGCAATTTGACAAATCTAGTAACGTTTTCTTGTATGTGAGACAAGGGTCTCCCTAATCATCAACTTACAGTAGATTTTTAGATCTGGGTCACACCAAGTGATTTTTTTCTTTTACGGGTTCTCTAAGTAAAAATTTCTGATGTCATTATTAGTTGTTTTCTTTTGTCTGAGCTTGTGCATAATCCATTACTCCACCACCGTGAACTTTCCTACAAGCATCAAGAGTATTATAATTATTAAATTTATTAAAAAAAAGGTATATTAGTAATTACATACATACCATTTGAAAATTTTTTTATTTACAAAATTATTACCCTCTTCCATTATTATTTTTTTTAAATTTCTCACTCAAATATCAAAATTCATAATAAAATCTCAATTAATATTTATCATTTTTTTTAATATTTATCATTTTTTTTATCAAATCACCGTTGATTTGATCGTGGTTCCTGCAAATACACCAATTTAGTATTTAAAAAGAATAATTTGGCTTTTGATTTTGTAAATAATAAAGTTCCCAGGGCTATGCATGTTAAATTAAAAATAATTTATTTATTATTAAATATCTAAATTTATGAAATAAAATTTTTAGTATATTATATAATAGTAAAAAAATTAGTAAAAATTAGAGCCACTTTGATTCCACCATTGCTTCTACTAATTAATTATGATTAAACTAATTAATTATGATTAAAAGTTACGATCACAGTAAGCATACTTTGACGATCAAATCGAATCGAACTAATAAATTAGAATCGATTTTTAGATTTTTTTTTAAAATTTATTTTAAACCCATTATTTATATTATTTTTATCTTGTGTTAGTGGAGTTGTGTGGTCCTGCGGCGGCCACCTGGGAAAGACCCCGCAAAAACCCTGAGTTTGATTTTAAGAGGCGGGTGAAAAAAGTGGGTGCGAGTTAATAAATACATCGCATGTGGCCCACACCCTTGGATGAAAAATACTCTTCCAACATGTCAAAACTAAAAGATATTTGAGCGATTTACTAAACAGTCCCTACAATTTTTATTATTACATTTTTCAAATTCAAAATTTAATATTCATACCATTTAACCCTTCCCATTAAATTATCTCATTTTGGGGCAGCTTCGGCTTATTGATAAACTGTTGATAAGCTGTTGAAAAATAATCTGTTGTTAAAAACATTACGGTGAGTATTACAAATTAGAGGATTAGGAACAATGTAAAAACACTGATTTCAACGGTTTGATGAATCTGTTGTTAAAAACGTTACGGTGAGTATTACAATTTTTTTTTTTGGAAAAGTCGGACTGCAGCTAGAAAGCGGTCACCGCACCTAGTAAGGAACAATGTAAAAACACTGATTTCAACGGTTTGAAAAAGTAAAAAGCTGTCAAAACACAGTTTAACCAAAACAAATGAAACTGCAGTGCATTTTCAAACCGCCACCGCACCACCGCCCTAAACTGACCCGAATCGTCCTAATATCTCTGAAACTACAATCTTTCTTTTATTGTACGTTCATGAACATAAGAGCATAAGAGCGGTGGTGCTAATTTTATTGTTATGTGAATGTTTTGGGTAATAAAGACATAAATATTAAACTTTAGATGCAAATATATATAATATTACTAATTTTGGGTGTTATTTATGTAAATTCTCCAAGATATTTTTTGGTGGACCGGAAAGCGTCCAATCGCCTGCATTAAACTTTAATAAAGAAATGTAATTATTAGAAATATGGATGTACGGCAGCGGGAACTAATCGGTTCCAAAATAAATATCTAATTGAAATCTGCGTTTTTAAAAGTGCTTTTTAGTTAAAATCGATTAAAAGATATATAATTTTCTTGAGAGGCTGTTTGGTAACGACTTTAAAATTAAAATTAAAATTAATTTTATTTAATTATTGCCCAAAAAAGTCAAGAAAATAATTTTAAATGTTGAATCTTGTAAATATAATTTCTGGTTCATTTTTTTTTTAATTTTAAATTTGTGAAATAATTGCAGCCAAGTGGATTTATATTATTCGCTGCTTATTTTTGGCGTTGAGAGTTATGAGATATTAAGTTAATTAAATTAGTATTATTTGTTAATTAATCAAATGTATTTATGTATATATGTTACAGAGTCAACAGATTTTTATGTATATAAGTTGAATCATCGAAGATGAATCTCAAGACATGATATGAATCTCAAGATTTTTTTTTTTTTAACGAAGAATATTTAAATTTTGATTAAAAATCATTTATAACACTGATTTCAGTAAACTTACAGTGAAACAAACGTCTCGATGAAATGGATATGATAATATCAAAAGTGGTCAAATTCGAGTCAATTCAAGCTCAGATCAACCCGTTAAATCATTTTTCGAAGCTTTGAGTGCATGATTGGAAAGTTAAACGAATTCCAAATCGCTTGTAGGTTGATCATGAGATAAATCTAACGATCTCAAGCTTGCTCAATTCTAACATTATTGATGCACTCAAATGTTCACTGAATGTCATCTGATCGAGGGATATATCTCTTGGTTGTGTGATGGATGTTTTGAATTCACTCCTTATTTACAGAGACAGTTCTCCCAAGCTCCGAGGCATACCCTACTCTTGAGAGGGGACCAAAACCTTGAGCTAGAAGAAGTTTGGAGGAAAAGCTGAAGTCAAGTATTTCTTATGAACGGAAGATCCGGTAAATACCTCCCTTTCGTGCAGCCGCCAACTAACATCAACCACTAACTGTCAGCTACCATAGACCGCTCTCCACTCGTTGCAGCGAACCTCCGAATGGAGTCAAGACTTGCGCTGCTGATCAATGAAGCACCGCACTAGCAATAATCGACGTCGCAAAGTCATGAAACATCATACGTAGTTGTGCATCATCTTTAACGTTATGTCAATCTCGAATACAGTGTGTCGAAGCTTCAACAACTACCCCGAGCTGCTACCGCTTCATACCGTGAGCCAACAAGCTCTTATGTGCATGATCATTGTAACTCGAGAAACAGTGCAAGACTTTCCTGCTCGTGAGACAATTGTCTATACATGTAATCACCAACTCATAGTGAATCATTTCAATTTAGCTGGACCTCATGATTTTTTTTTTATTTTTCAGATTTTCCAAGTAAAAACTTCTTGCGTTTCAACTTGTCATTTTTATTATCTGAGTGTGTGATTGATTATAGTGCAAAGTTAAGATAATAACAGATTACTCTACCTCCACCAATTCTCTAGCATGCATCAATATATACGAATTCTTAATCAATGATTAATTATTCAATAAAATCTTCATTAATTATTAATTAGTTTTGTAGAGAACTAATAGAGATTATAGTTTAAATTGTGAATTAATTAGTTTAGTGAACTTGTGTTGATAAATAATAAATTATTAAGTACTTGATGATTATTTATGTTTAACTAAATATTTTCTTATTCTAATTTGATTAAATTTTATTAATTAATGAATATTAAATTATTAATAATTTCTTTAAAGAAATATAAATTATTAATTAATTATTAAAATAATTTAAAATTATTAAAATTTAAATAAAAGTAAATTGCCATAATTAAATTCTAAAAAATTACCAAATTACTTCATAAAATTCAACTGTATTTAACATATTTACTTCCAAATAGTTTTTAGGGTTAATCACTTCAATATTTACTATATTTGTATTTACATAATTTATTAAAAGCAGATTTACCTTCATACACATCGATACCTATGTATTTACATATCTTGCATCTAAACATCAATTTGTATGTACATACCATCTTATCTATATATATAGTGATATGAAAGATTTGAATGATATAAATATAAAAAAAATGATAATTAGGTGCTAGATACTTAAATACATAAGGAAAGGGGGCATGCATCTAAATGCCCCTTTATTCAATCCATTTAAATTATATTTTAGAAAATACTCCTAAAAGGCACATTTGAAAATAGAAAAAATAGTTCATGGCTGTGTTTAGTTCATACCTTTAAATAAATAGATAAATAAATAAATAAATAAAAGTTTTCATACTTCATTAGAAAATTTGTAGAGGCCCACTTAAAAGCTTAGACTCAATTAAGATATTTTAATGGAGTAGAATTTTTC